AAGGGGGGGGGGGAACCGGACCCCCCTCCCTGAATGGAGGTGGTGGGTTCGAACCCCCCCCCCCCGGACGGAGGGGGGGGTTCGAACCCCCCCCTCTGGTGGTGGTGGTGGGTTGTGGTGGCGGTGGTGGCGGCGGTGGTGGATGTAGTGGCGGTGGTGGTGTGGTGGTTTGTTGTGGTGATGGTAGTTGTGGTGGCGGGTGGTGGTGGAGGTTTGATGGTGGTGTGGTGGGGGTTTGTGGTGGTGGTGGTGGGTCGTGGTGGCGGTGGTGCTGGCGGCGTGGTGGTGGAGTGGTGGTGGTTTGTGGTGGTGGTGTTGGTGGTGGTTTTGGTGGTGGCGGTGGTTTGTGGGGTTGGTGCTGGTGGTGGCGGTGGTGACGGCGGTGGTGATGGTGGTGTGTTGGGTTGTGGTGGTGGTGGTGGGTTGCGCTGCTGGTAGTGGCGGTGGTTGTGGCGGTGGTGGTGGTGGTGTGGTAGAGAGGCGGTGGTGGTAGTGGTGGTGTGTTTATGTGGTGGTAGTGGTGATGGTGAGGAGTGGTGGTGGTGGTGGTGGTGGTGCTTGTGGTGGCTGTGGTGGCGGTGGTGGGTTGGGGTGGCTTGTGGTGGTGGTTTGCGTTTGTGGTGGTGGGTTGTGGTGGGGGCGGCGGTTCGTGGAGGTGGTTCGTGGAGGTGGTGCTGGTGGTGGTGGTGGTGGCTGCGGTGGTGGGTGTGGTGTTGGTGTTGGTGTGGTGGTTTGTGGTGGTGGCTGTGGGTTGCGCTGCTGGTAGTGGTGGTGGTTGTGGCGGCGGCGGTGGTGGTGGTGTGGTAGATTGGTGGTTGTGATGATGAGTTGTGATGATGAGGTGTGCTGGTGGTGGTCGTGGTGGTGGTGGAGGTGGCTGTGATTGTGGTGGTGTCGGTCGCGTGGTGGCTTGGTGGTGGCGGTGGTGGGTTGAGGCGGTGGTGGTGGTGGTGGTAGTGGCGGCGGTGGTGGTAGCGGTGGTAAGCGTCGCTGCGCCCCCGCCGTCGCCGGCGCCAGCGCCGGCGCTGCTGGCCGCCGCCAGCGCGGGCGCCGGCGCCAGGGGGGGGGGGTTCACCGCGCCCCCCCGACGCGCTAGGGGGCGGGTGTCCAACCCCCCACCTTCCTTGGGCTGCCTCTGGTCATCGTCGCATCGCCCCCGCCGTCGGCGCTGTTTGCGGCCGCCAGCGCCGGCGCCGACGCCGCGGGAGGGGGGGTTTGAACCCCCCCCCCTCCGTGGGCCCCCCTCCGTGGGAGGGGGAAGGCGGGCGTCGGGGGGGGGGGGGGGCTGGGGGGAGGGGGGCCACATGGTTTTGATCGACGGCGCCGAGCGTTGGGGGGGGGTCCCCCCCCGGTTCGAAACGCGCCGCCGAATGTTCCCAAGGTGAGTGCCCGTGAAACGCGTTCTCTCGAATCGCGGGATCCATTGGGAAGTGGGGCCCGCTGAAGCTCGCTGGAAGCATGGGAGAGCGGAGGTGACAATCAACTTGGTGAATGTTGTCGCGACGAGGATGGCCATCGCGGGCCTGGAGTGCCCAATTCCGAAGATTTTCAGTTGGCGCGCAGCAGTTCGCGCAAATATGGTTCGTGTCTGGGGGGCTTTTTTGGATCAAGTGCTGTTCGGGCGTCAACTGCGGCCTCTGGATTCGCAGCTGACTGGTTCAGCGGCGCAGCTGCAGGTTGAGACGGGGAAGGGCACCGCCGCTGAGATCATGATGAAGAGGAGGATGCAGGCCAGGAAGGCGTTCGCAGAAGCTCTGGCTGATCGTCGAGTCCGTCTGGTAGCCATCTCCACGACCAGGAAGTTCACGTCCTTGGAGACGGGAGAACTGTCATTCTCCTAGGTGAAGCCTGGGAGCTGGAGGGATAAGGTGAAGAAGTCGAAGGGCGAGGTCATGGGACCAGCCTTCGTGATCAGCCAGTATTGCAAGCACGAGAAGGGCGAGGCCCCCCCCGGAACCTGGCGCTGATCTATCTCAACAAGTAGCTACTTCTGAGCACCTCATAGCAGCTTCGAGCAGCTTCAGATCACGAGATGGCGTTGTATTCGATTTTGCGAAAATCCAAACCACTGGACAGACAGCCACTGATGGAGACCTTGGACATCGGAGCCAGATGCTGAGACCTCAGCCATCAGTCAGCCTCAGCAGGAGCAGGCCATGGTCGAGGCTAGCGAGGAGAGCCAGCCCAGGGACCGAAAGAGCAGCCTGAGCCCGAAGGCAGAGGAGACGGCGATGAAGAGATGGCAGGACCTCGAGATGGCGGTGGCGAAGCTGCACCTGGACGAGAGGAGCTCAGCCCCGAGGAGTTCCTCAGGAGACTGGCAGGGGACTGATCCCGAACGAGGTGATGGATCGGAGCCGGACAAAGAGGCGCCGCCAATATCAAGGACAGCATCCGCGGCACCCGCGTCGGATGCACCTATGCCGCCAGGGGCGATTCAACCTGGGGGGCGACCCGCGGCGGCCAGCCCCACCGCGGGGTGCCACCTGAGAACCAATCCGCTTCCAGAAGAGTATCGCAGAGAGGGGCGACCCTGGAGACTCATGTGACCTACCGCCAGAGAAGAGGGCCAGGGCCACAGCGGGGGCCGGGCGCGTCGGAGATCTTCGATGCGATGAAGGCAGACACAGAGGCGCGCATTGCCGAGCTGGCGCTGGAGGGCGACATCCCAGCAGCGTTCGGCGAGAAGCCGAAGCAGGTGCTCGGAACAGCCGTGGAGAAGGGACAAGAGGAAATCGGCGCGCGGAAGTCTACGCCGGAGGTGGAAGCCGAGATCGCAGAGGCAAAGGTGGTGGATGAGAGCACTTGGATGCGCAACGAAGTCTGTCAAGCTGCCCCTAGACAAGCTGGGCTCACTGTCACCGTGATGAGGTGGCATTTCGTCATGGAGGAAGCCTGCAAGGTCAAGGCCGGGCTGCTCCTGCTGGGCTTCCAAGACCCGAGACTGGCCACGATGGACAGTTGGACAGGGCGAGTCCAGCGATTTCCCCCAGCGGCAGGAACCTTGTTCTGCAGATGATGGCTAACAGGAGACCCCGCATTTACGAGGGCGATGTCAAAACAGCCTTCTTCTTGCAAGAGATCCCACTCAAGCTAAGCAGGGTCTCCTAGTGGAACGGGTTCCAGAACTCTGAGAAGCTCTACAATTGTCAGGCGAGGAGCGCGTGAACTCCGAAATGCTCCTTACAAGTGTCAAAGGCCTGGCGAACGCCCCCAAGGAGCGGCGCGGGAATGTGGCAAGCGATCTCGAAGAACATGGGTACGTGGCCATGACGCCGTGGCCCTGCTTGTGGGTCAAGTGCGACAGGACGGGGAGATCGGGGCAGCCATCTCTGCGCACGCAGATGACTTCGCGACTGGCATACCCAGCAGCGAGATCGGCCAGAAGAACCTGGGGGATTGGCCCCAGCACGCAGCGTGGGTCAGAGCATGCGCAGCTCGCAGATTACACCGTCATCCAGAGCCGAACAAAGGCTGTCCAGAAGGTGGAGTACATCGAGCTGAACAAGGAGGAGTACCAGCTGAAGAATGACGCCCTGCTTTCCTCGAGTGTGAAGCCCCGATGCAGGGGGGCACTTGGAAGTGCCATGTTTTGGGCATCGCAAGGAATGAACGTCGAAGAGGTTGGCTGGAGAAACGAGCGCACTTGGAGGAGAAGTTCCCACCGGGACGATGGCAACCGTCAAGAGGATCAAAGAAGTCATCCACACCGGCAACGAGACGTCATGGATCAACGTCACATTCGCGCTTATGAGCGAACAAGTATTCATCACTTGGCATGATGCGACTTGGAAAATCTATAAAAAACAGGGGGCACGCAGGGCGGAATGATCCTCACGATGGCCGAAAATGGCATACTGGATGGACATCGTACCGCAGTTGCGGTGAATCAGGGAGCCTTAAAACAACTACCGAGAGTGGCAAGGACAGGAGTCCGCAATGTTGGACTGCTACGAGATGCTGGCAGGACGGGCTATGCCGCATCACGAGATGAACGAGTGCATCCAGAAGGTTCCGGGGGCACTGGCCACACACTGCAGGGCCACGTGCGACAGCATAGTTCGAGCATGTTCAAACGGGTGCGGATGCAACGGTCAGAGATCCGCGGTCGAGGCCCTCGCACTGAAGCAGAGCATGAAGGCGGCGTCCACGCTACTACGCACGGTCCACGGAGGCAATGATTGCCGACGGTCTCGCGAAGTTGGAGTCGTCGCCGGCGCTGCAGGCCACGCTGAATTTCTACAGCGAGCTGGTGTGGACCCTGGTTCAGGACCCGACATTCACGTCCGCCAAGAAGAGGGTTGCCATGCGCAAAAAAGTGCTGGATTGACGAGAGCAGGCCTCCAGCGATCCCGGGTTTCAGCGATTCCGACCAGGATAGTGACTTTGAGATGGAGCAGTTGAAGAGCCAGCATGCGAAGAGTCAAGGTCTCGCGTCTCACACCCTCTCGTGTGCCGCCCTCCTATCATCTTAGTACGCTCGTTTCGGGGCTTGAAGGTTATAGATTGCACGATAGGGGAGCACTGAACCCCCCGTGTCGTAGAAAGCGGATTCCAAGATAATGTTTAGCAGTTTCGGGGGAATGTCCGATCCGGCTCCGTCAGTATATTCAGTGCTAGAATTTTATGAGCGCGGTTTACAAAGCATTATTGATTCGGCTCGTGATCGAGCCTTTCTTTGTTGTGAAGAGAAAAGCGTTCCATCTTCTTGTATTTCAGCTCGGTTGATATTGACATCGGCTACATATGACAACTCTCTCGGGTAACACCGACGGGACCGACAAGAGAAGGGGTGCAACACCGATCCCAGAAATCCGCGCGGACTTTTGCGAAATCATGTTTGTGCCGCTTTTTGTTGTTTCTGCGCTGTGGACGTTGATGCCGACCGTCCGATCCGTCTACGCCTCCTCGGCCTTGCGCCCTGGCGCGGTCGCGGGCACTGTCTGGTGCCTCGTCCGCGCGCCGCTCCCGCCCAGTGCCCGTCCCCCGCCCCCTCTCAGGTGGAGGGCGGCTCGGGTAAGAACGCGGGCACCGAGACGAAGGCCCCGCCTTGACCCGAAGAGGGGGAGGCAAGAGGCAGCAGGACGGAGGGATGCAGGAGGAGGCAGGGGGATGGAGGGGGGGAGGAAGGGGGGAAACCCTCCAGGGGTAGGGGTGGAGGGGGAGACGTTTCGACGAAGAAACATCGTTCGGAGGGCCGCGGAGCGCGCCAGGGGCGGCGCTTGATGCGCCGCCAAGGGTCCCAGGTCCGATCCAAGAACTCCGCGCGGAGATCCGAAAACTTATGCTTACGCAGTTGTGTTTTCCATCTAGGGGTGGAGGCGGATGCGGTGGATGACCTTTGTGGCGTTGGCGTTGGATCAAAAGACAACAAACCACCCCGACCTTCACAATTGGCATTCGCACAGCGGCTCTGGGAGCTTGTGGCAGCTTGTGCTAACCAGCCCTATCGTGAGTCGATTCCTTCGTTAGGTGCGTCTGCTAAGCGGCTTCGATTGTCGGGGTACTTCGATGCGGAAGGCTTCTCTGCTCGCCAGTGGAGGCGGCCCCGCCATTGTCTGCGGGACCTGCGGCTCGAGAGAGCCGCCCCTCGGTTGTCGCGGGCCGCGGCAGTCGCTCGGACAGCCTGGGCCTGCCCAGGCGAAGAGGGTGATGCTCTTTTTGGAGCGGGTTGGGGGCATGAGATGATTAAGCATTGGCTCCGGCGAGCAGGAAGGGGGGGGGGGGCGGGGTTCGAGGCTGCGGGTTCCAGAAAGTTTCAGTCTTTTTCGATCTCCGTGGGCCAGTTTGGGGCCCCAGGGCTGTCAAAAACGGGTCCTTGATGAAAAAGTGCACCAGATGGACCCCTGGAGACCGAATCTGAGCGGATTTGCCTTCATAGACCCCCTGGCTGCCTCCAACTCTCCCCCTGCTCCTCGCAGTCCCCTGCGATGGCATCGCCCATCCATCGCCGTGGTGAAGATGACGCTGGCCAACGCCATCCTCCAGGCGTGAGTGCGCCGAGGTTTGCCGAGCCAGTACGTTGACGGTCCCAACAGACGAGGATGAGAATGAGGATGATCATGAGGAGGAGGATGAGGATGATCATGAGGAGGAGGAGGCGGGTGAGGAGTGGAGGAGGAGGAGGAGGAGGAGGAGGAGGAGGAGGAGGAGGAGGAGGAGGAGGGGAGAAAACGAATATTCGCGCGCGTGTGAGCCCGCGTCTTTGTGAGGGTCGCCGCCCCGTCGGGGTGGCGAGAGGCCGAACTATGGGCCTGACACACCCAACATAACCACCGAGGAGCTGGCAGGATCATTGGCCGGGTGAACGCGCCATTCCGCGCACAGAACGTTGAGCCGGGTGAACCCGCCAAGTCGGCTGATTTCGGGGGTGCCCGTGGAACAGTTGCCCGCTGGCGTCCCGCAGGCCTTGGGGCGGCTGGCCCTTGAGGGCAGGATTGAGGAAATGGGAGTAGCCAAACACGACAATGAGGACCCAAACGCGACAAGGAAGCACCCAGACATGACAAGACAGAGGCACATTCACGACAAGCAGTAGAGGCGAAAGTGGAAGGCGATTCGTTTTTGCCTCCCACTTTTGCCTCCCGCTGTCGCTTTCGCCTCCCACTTTCGCTTTCGCATTCCACTTTCGCTTTCGCTTTCGCCTCCCACGTTCGCCTCCCGCTTTCGCTTTAGCCTCCCACTTTCGCCTCCCGTTTTCGCTTCGCCTCCCACTTTCGCTTGCCGCGTTCGCTTTCGCCTCCCACTTTCGCCTCCCGCTTCCGCCGCATCGACTGGATCGCGCCGCATCGGCGATGCATCGGCGACATCGGCAGTGCATCGGCGCATTCGGCGTGGAGAAAATCGGGCTCCACATCGAGCCGCATGGCCGATGCATCGGCGATGCGGCTCGATCCTTGGACCCCATCTGCCCAGACCAAAAACAACACAAACTGTCGTAGTTCCGCGAGGATTTCTTGGATCTGCACTGGGACCCCTCTGGCGGCGCCTCTGGCGCAGCGCAGATCCAACCACGCGGACCTCCGAAAGCTCATGCTTATGCATGCTTGTCTCCCCACATCCTCATCGCTGTGCTTGCCCCCCTCCCTGAAGCAGGACGTGCTCGTGATGTGCAACCTGAAGTGCGGTTTCGAGTGTTTGCGCATGCTGGACCGCGCAGCGCCGCTCGCGCCGCCGCCCTGGTGCTGCAGGGCAGGGAAGGGGAATTCAGGAATCAGGGAAGGATGACTATGACGACGACTATGACAACCACTATGACGAAGACTATGACGATGGCGACGACTATGATTATGACTACGACCATGACAGCGACTATGAGAAGGCGAGCATGAGGAGGATGAGGAGAAAAAGGAGGAGGAGGAGAAAGGTGAAGAGGACGATGCAATCTATATATATATATATATATGAAGGAGCATCGAGGAGAACCGGCAGCGAAAGTGGAGGATCTGTGGACGAGGGGGAGGAGGGAGGCCCTTGGTCTCAGGAGGGCCAGAAAAGGCCATTCACAAAATCTTCACCCTCGAGGATCGAGGGGTGAACCCAAGGAGGAGGAGGAGGAGGAGGAGGAGCAGGAGGAGGAGGAGGAGGAGGAGGAGGATTCACATGCTGCGTGGTCTGTGGCGTGCCCCCGTGCTAGTTACGTTCGAGCGCGGCAGCAGGATGTGGATCATCCACATCCGCTGCGAGAACCCAGAATCGTGAAGGAGGTTTGAGGACTGTGGCTCGAGATGATTGTACAGTGCTTGACCCCTGTTCCCTCACACCATGCGCTTGGTGTTCTCACGTACTTAATTCAGCCATCACAGGAGCCCGCGTGTCGGTGTCGGGTCTGTGACACCCGTCTTTGCGTGAGAAGTCATGGGGGGCGGGCCTTCTCAGAAGGCTCAGAAGGCCTCTCGCGTTCCGAGGAGCTTCCTCAGCCTCTGAAGACACGGACAACTTTTCACAAGGCCAGATGGCTTCTGAGAAGCCGCGCCGCCTTCTGAGAAGGCCTGCCCTCTCCCACTTCCTCCCTGGGCTCGCCGCCGACTGATACCTGGTTCCGCATCCTGCGCGTTCTGGCTCGAGGGTGGTACGCCTCGTGCCCAGGCGGTGGTGCGTCCCAGGGTCGTTTCCGGCGTACACGAAAACGCCGTGCCTGCCAGCCCAACGATGGTGCGCCTTTGGGCCGGGCAGTGGTCTGTAGCAGGACCGTGAGTTGATGTTGTGTGTGCCGGACAGGGCGTGGCTGTCGCCTTTGCTGCTTGCCTATGTTTGAGTCTTGTCTCCGCCACTTGGCTTCTCGCCTTTTGCCCTGTTGGCCGCGTTGCGCCTCCACTTCCACGCTTCGTTCACAGTCGCCCGCGTGTCCACCCTCCCCACCCTCGCTGCCCATGTCCAGGCATGCGCATGGCATGGCCGATCCCCGTCGATCGTCTTCCGAGGGGCTGGCCGCGCTCGCTCGCTCCGTCTCGTCGCTGCGCGCGAGGCCGCGGCCGGGATGCGGCTGTTTGAGCCGAGGCACCCACGTGCGTTTCGTACCTTGGCCGCCACGCTTCGTCACGAGGGTGCCAGCTCGAAGCGAACGCAATCCCGTGCCTCGCTCCGTGGCCTGGATCCAGCCGCGCGTGGGAGGACCAGAAGTGCGCACTGGCTCGATTCTGCTGCGTGCCTTCTCCTGCCTCGTGTGCGGCCCCCGTGGTCCCCTCCCCCCTGCCTCTCGGCTCCTCTCCCCGCCCGGTCCGTCCATCTGCCTCTCGCTCGTGCCCGTCTTCCTCTCCGTCTCCCCTCCTCCCGCCGGCTCTGGCTGCCTCTCCGGCGCTGCGCGTTCCTTGGCCGTCCTTGCCCTTGCCGTGCCGCTGGCCCGTCTTGCCTGGCACTGAGCCGGGCGGCTGTCGCTGTGCCCACGCCACCTTTTCAGCCTTGCTGCTTCGTGCGCTCCCCGACTTGGCCACCGCGTCGCCACGCACGCGGTCGACGACTGCAGGAGTGCGTGCGTGAGTGCAAGTGTGTAAGCATGTGGATGTGCGTAAGCGTGTAAGCGTGCAAGTGTGCAAATGTGTGTGTGTGTGTGGATGTGTGTGTGTGTGGATGTGTGTAAGTGTGTGTGTGTGTGTGGATGTGTGTGTGTGGATGTATGTGGATGTGTGTAAGCGTGTAAGCGTGCAAGTGTGCAAGTGTGTGTGGATGTGTGTGAATGTGTGTGTGTGGATGTGTGTGTGTGTGTGTGTCAGTGTGTGTGTGTGTGTGGATGTGCGTGCGTGCGTCCGCAACTCCCTTTGACTCAAGCCTCTGGTGGCTCGATCCTCTCCTGGCTCGAGGGGGCTCTGCCGATCTGCTGCGCCTCGGGCGGCGGCCGCGGAGGAGGGAGGAGGACCAGGAGGAGCAGGAGGAGGAGGTGGAGGAGAAGGAGAGGGAGGAGGAGGAGGAGGAGGAGGAGGAGGAGGAGGAGGAGGAGGAGGAGGAGGAGGAGGTGGAGGTGGAGGACGAGGAGTAGAGAAAAGAGGAGGAGGAGTAGGAGGAGGAGGAGGAAGAGGAGGAGGAAGGGAGGGGGAAGGAGAGGGGGAACAGCGAGCAGGGAGGAGGAGATGCAGGCGGAGGAGGAGAACGAGGAGGAGGAGGAGGAGAAGTAGGAGGAGGAGGCGGAGGAAGAGGGGGAGGGCGAGCAGAATGGCCAGAGTCCACTTGGATGCCTCTCGGAGTCTTTTCGGATGTCTCTTGCGAATTTCTTGGAGTTCTCCTAGGGCGTCTTCTTCTTGGCGTTCCTGGGGGCCTCTTGGAGCGTCCGTCTTGGGTGCCTCGGGGGGCATCTTGGGGCCTCTTGGTGATATCTTGGGAGCCTCTTGGGGGCCCCCGGGGGCCTGGGCGCCTCTGGAGGCCCTTTTGGGAGCTCTTGGGGCCACCTTGGATGAGGTCGATCAAGAAAGGGGGCTACTCCATTAGCGCCCCCCCCCAGGAGGCAAAGATGGCGCCAGAGCCTTAGTAAGATCAGACATTATTGTCTTTTCGTCGAGGCCGTCTTGGACGCTCCAACGACCCGCCGCCCCCCCACTCCAGTTCCAGGGCGAGGGGGAGGGAGGGGGTAAATCCCTCCCCGAATGGGAAGGAGGGGGTTGGAAGAGGAAGCGCCCTAAACCACTCACACCCAAAACGGCTGGTGAGATTACCCGACCGTTGTCGAGGACGTTTCCTCCAGGTGTGGGTTAAAGATTACTTTCAAACGAGGCAAGACAGAAACTCTGTTCAGATCCGCGGGCAGTGGGTCCGTTTAAGCACGACGGCCGGTTTTCATTAACCGCGGGGGCGTCATTGATTTTGACGCTCGCGGTGTGCAGCGTCGGCTGGCTGCTACGGCCCGCTCTAAGCATTTTGTTGTTCGCACTCCACTATTTAGCACGAACTTTTCGTTGCACCTGCGATCATGGTATTATGCATGCGCGTTGGGTTCTTCAGCAGAGTTTGCTTGCATGCCCCGCGCGCGCTGTGCGTGGTGCCGTCATAGACACTAGTGGTCCGCAGGCCGTTTTGGCGCGATGTCGGAATGCGCAACAAAGCCGGTAAAATAATGGGTCCCATTGATCCGTGCCAGCCCGAAGCGCTTCAGGGCTGCACTGGGAGATGCGCGTCAGGAGCGTGGGCTTAATGAGGTGAGGGCTTGGGCTAGATGCAGACAGGTGGCTGAGGTGAGCGACGCATTTTCGTGCCATTTGTGTTCGTGAACACGGATCCCAACGTAGAAGGTAACCGCCCAGGGCCCACGGTGTCTCAATGCATGGTGCGCGTCGCCGCATTCGCGATCTCATCGATACAACACACTGTCCGGAGTGTATGTGTCTTCCTACGCTCGCGTACCAGTTGCCCATCTGGAGGAACGTCGGACCAATGCCGTGTTGTAGTCATGATTCGTTCAAAACGGTGCCAGATGGGGTCGTTGACGAACTCGATCGAATTGGTGCGAAGGACGCCCGCGAACGGGCCAGAAAAGGTGAAGAGGCCGCTGCGTGCTGACGCTCTGGCTGGCCAGTTGGGAGGCCCAGTGACTTTGGAATCGTTTGCGGCCAGCCTAGAACATCAGTTTTTCCCCTCTTGTTTCCTTCTCTCTGGTGTGCCTGGGAGCGCTGATGCAGCATCCGCGCCATCCCAAGGAAAGTCGATGCACCAACCGTTTTTTGTCTTTCTCGCCCGCCACGCATGTGTCTCACCACGTGCGCGCGTCCCAAACGTTTCGGAAACGAAACGACGACAGGAAATGGGAGGAAGTTGAGGAAGGGGAGGAAGGGGAGGAGGAGGAGGAGGAAGTGAAGGAGGAGGAGGAGGGGGACGGGGGTGTTTGCGGGGACTACGCTCACGCGTTTTGAAGGGGACTACGCCCAGAATGTGTGGCAGGCAAACGACGATGACATCACGCCTGGACAGTGGGTTTCTTTTGAGAACCCTCAGGCGGGTCCGAGAATATGTGGGGGCCTTGCCCGAAAATGTTTGCAGAGTTGTTGAATACATTGGCCCCCATGGGGGACATGCTGTAATGGTTGAGCCATGCGGGGTGGGATGTGGATGCCACGGTAGAGGGAGACAATTACTGAACATTCCCCCTCCCCCCAAACTCAATGTTGGCACGCGTGGGGGAGACTGCGGTCGAAGCGCATCTCATCAGACCCACCGCCATCTTTGAACATTGGGGGGAGGGGGAGGCGTTGACAGATGAATGTGGCATGAGTGTTCGCTAAGTTGTTCCGACGCTTGTATGGGTTGCCTCGGGACGCGGGGCGGGACCCGAGAGCTGCCGAGCGAGACCGCCCACTGTGATCTAGGGCCTTCTCTGCAGGACGCGAGTCCGCACGCAGGCAGGCCACGGTCAAGCGTTTGGGCAGGCTTCAGAAGCTTGCTGCAGGCAACATGTTATGCAAGAGGTGGGCGAAGAAGATAGCCCTCACGGCTGCCTTTGCCAAGTCACGTTATTCTGACAAGGTGCACGGCACTGCCCCCCATGTCGTCTTGAGGTGGCGTCGGTCGTTGGGTCGGTTGATTGGGGGAGTCGCTAAGAGGGGTAGGTGCTTCACCACGCTGTTAGCGCTTGAGTGTGGGAGGAGGGATCCTGCCTTCCTCGCCCTCTTCGACACGATCGAGGCATGGTTCCTCATTTTAACGGATCGCAGTTTCCATGCTGAGAGGATCCG